CGCATTCCGACTGGATTCCCTACAGGTACGCGGGCGCCGGCCCACCCTGCTCTTCCCCTCGCGGGCGGGGGGCGCTGATCCGGCCAATCACCCGGGAGCTCGGGCCAGGGGCGCCGACACCCCTCAGTTGCAGGCTCAAGACTAGCCTTGGACGCTGGGCCGGGGCGCGGACACCGCTACCCTCTCCATCTCCTAACCGCGGCCACGGGTCGGAAGCGCTGGCTTTATCCCACCCCAACTTTGGGGGCCCAGGCAGATTGGGAACCTGCTTTTATCCACCGAGCTTGCTGAAAAAGAACAGTGCTCAGGGCCTGAGTGGGCCCCGCTGGTTCTGGCAACACCATGTGGCCGCGTGGGGAGGGAGAGCGCGCCGGGCTACAGCGAGCCCCTCCTAGGCCCAGCACCCCAGTTCGCGCGCCCGTATGGCCCCGTGCATCTGCACGCAGGCACCCACAGGATCTCAGCCCACTGGGCGCCGACTGCTCACACACTCAACGCGTGTATTCGTGGAGACAGTTGTTTTGGCCAACAGCATGCCGCCGCCTCCTTCTATGCACCGGTCCATCTCTACACACGTTTGACCCTTGGGCGCACACAGGTGCACGCTACATATGAATGCACATGCTGTTGTTTGGTGCGGTTGGGCGTAGCAGCCCCTATTCACCCGTTCTGTGCCATCCTCACAGTGTTGGCATGTTGGAGACCGGCGTTGCAGACAGTGCCAGTTCCGTCTGTTTGAGGGTCTTACTCTTTGCCCTTCTCCAGGGACTAGTCCCCTGATTAACATGGAAGTCTGGCCCTCTGCTTCTGATGAGCATTCCGACTGTAGTTCTCCCAGGTGTTGGTTTTCCCTGCAGGGCCTGGTGGTACATTCCATACCACCATTCAGATACATCAGATGTGCTTCAGCCTCCCATCTTCATGGCCTGGCGTTCAAAACGCCTGTGTGGCGACTGAAAGTAGCGTGGTTCAAAACGCCTGTGTGGCGACTGAAAGTAGCGTGGCTTCAGTCGGGCTCCCTTTACTCCTCAGAGTGACTTCTTGGCTTTTGAACACCTTCAAGGCGTCCTTTGCAGCAGGCATCTGTGTACCTGCAGAGCAGCACCTGCTCCCCTCCTCCAGCATTGCCAGTCGCTGGGAAGAGGTTCTGGTTCGAAGGGACCTATGGGTACACAGTAGAATGGTGCACAGCATTTTCAGGCTATGGCCTTCCGGAAGCAGTTTGCTAGGCCTGTCTTCTCAGCTGTCTGTGGGTGGGATCCAACTGCCAACCTTTCAGTATCTTGAAGAGACTCAATAATTACTAACAGGTCTGCACCTGGACACACACCAACTCCCACAACACATCAAGCGGCCCTCCGGTGCTTAAAAAGAGTTTAAAAAAGCTGGGGGCGCTCAGGGGAGCCCACACCTTTTGTTTCCAGACACTGCAGTTTGTCCCTAGGATGGCGGGGTTTCCCCACCTTCATGGGCCGGTAGGTGGGACATTGGGGGGCTCACACAGGTGCAGGCCTTTCCTCCATCCACTCTGCACCATTCTCTCCATGACCACAGAAAGGAGCCCATCGCCATGGCAGCACCAGTTCCTTGGCTACCCATTGGCTCTTTGGTTGCCATGGGCTACCTTGCTGCCTCTGGGCTTCCTAGAGAGGCATGTGCTTAAGAAGGGTGCTGGGCTGCTCGGGTCCACTGTGTTATTGCCAGCCCAGGTGCATGTGTGGTGGGTGGCAGACACAGACCCTCAGGTCATAATGCACCCTGCTCTTGGGAAGGGGCCTGATGCCAGTCTCTTGACAGAAAATAATTGTGACAGGATCTCCTGAGTCTGTCCAGACTCAGGGACAACAGGCCAGCTGCCTGGGGTTTGTTCTAAGCAGGCCTTTCTACAAACAGGCACTGTGTCGCTGGCCAGGGCGTCCCTAGAGAATCAGTGTCTCCAATCTCAGCTCCTGTCGGGGTTTTGGAAGCTTCCCAGGTTAGAATTTGTGTGGCCCACCACACACACACACACACACACACACACACACACACACACACACACACACGTCATCCCTCAAGGTCTCCTCACATAAACATAGCCTCACCTAGGAGAATCACATAGAACGGGAGGCTATTCCCATCATGACTGGGCAGAGGACTGCTGACTCCAGAGAGCTGCTGCCCCGACCCCAGACATTCACTTTCTGGAGCACCCTGGCATATGTGCACTTCCTTGGCATATATAGGCTGAAAACCTTCTCAAAGATGCTGCAGCTCCAGAGGTTCCCCCAGCTGTCTGGGCAGCATTTGGATAGAGGGGTTCGCCAGGCTGTGACAGTACCTGTGTGTGTGTATGTGTGGGAGGGGGCTATAGCAGTGGGGGGTTGATATAGGCAGCAGGGCAGTGGCTATAGCCTAGGCTGTGGAAATTGGTGGTCTGTTTAGAATCTGGCAAGCCAGGCCAGACCATGGTTCAAGGCAGCCTTGAAGAGTTGGTACATAAATCCTTGCAAAATTCTAGCTCAAACTGGGGAGGTTCATGTCTGCCCTAAGAAGTTGTGGGGGTTGTCTCTGGGAAGTGGCCCTGGCCTCTGCATCGGGTGATTTGGTGCTTACCCTGGCCCAGGGAGCCCTTAGCAGCCTGTGGCCCCACCCTGCGACCTTTCGCCTCTGCTCTGACACCTTTGTCCACTGGCCCCTCTCCTCCTCCGTTTTGTTCTAGGGTAGCTGGGTCCCTGCTGCCCAGCCGTGTTCTGCTGGGGTCTCCCCAGGCGTGCTTTGTGCCTGGGAAGGCATTGGGCTCAGGGTGTATATAGGCTTCTGGGATGGGCAGCCTGGGCTGAGAGGGAGAGATGCAGATTGCCTCTTGTATTAACTGGGCTCCCGGTTGCAGTCAAAGCGACCCGCCTGTCTGATCACAGCGAAAACTGGGGCAGAAGACAGACCAGGCATTCTGCTTGCACATGGGAGTGGGAGGCACGTGTGTGCCCGTGCTCTGACTGGTGTGAGGCTTCCCTAACGCCACGGCATGTCAGACCGGCAGCGTGGCGTTTGCCAGTGGGGAGAGGGCTGAGCCGCTTCTTGTTGTCTGTGTTGGTAGAGCCGCTGCTCCGAGCTCCTGGTACCTTGCATCCCCCGGGCACAGCCCATTTTCCTGGAGGCAGTGATAGTTGGTGATAATCTTCTTAGGGTTCACTTTGGCTCAGGATATCATGATCAGAGATGAATCCCACATCCGATGTAGAAGGGAGCCATCTTGTGTGTTAAGTCTAATAATGGGGACAGTTTTTTGCTTTTCCTTTTTCTCTTAGGATGACCTTGAGTATAGTTTCCTTTTCTGCCAGCTTCTCATTAAATGTGTTCTTGAGGAGTGTTAAATGCCCCTCAAATGTGGTGGCCTGACAACCTTTGATAGGTTGAAAGTGGGGCCGTGAGAGTGAGGAAGGCGTGGGGGGCCCGAGGACAGGGCAGTGCTTGCCTACTGCCTCTCTCTTTCGCCAGGCTGTGAGCTCCTCCGAGGGGGACCTGACCAGGGCCCCTGGCCGTGCCTGCAGCATAGCCCAGCGCAGAGGACATGCCCAATACTTTGAATCACAGAGACCCACCCCCAGGCAGCCTTTGGGGCTCCCTCAACTTTTCTGGCCTCACACCGGGGCTCTCAGAGCTCCTGAGGGGCGTAGCACTCACCTAACCGGGGACTAGCTCTTCCCTGGGCCTCTGGAGCTCCGTTTAAAAGGCATAGCTCCTCTGGGTCACAGAATGGGATGTCTGGCTAGAAGGACTGGCACTTAATGGCAATGGAGACCTCTGAGTGTGGATGCGTCCCTGCCAACTGGCCTTCCATCTGCCTCTGCTTGTGTGCTCCCAAGGGCAGAGAGTGCACACCTCTTTGCCTCAGATGGTTTTTACTGGTAGAAAGTGCTCCTTGGGTTGAGCCTGCATGGGGCTCTGGCTCCCCCTTCGCTAGGCCCTTGTTAGGTCCTTCAACATGGTTCCTGGGTGACGACGGGGGAGAGGGACTCTCTCAGCTCTGCCTTTGGGGTTAGCCACCGAGGTCCCTGGACACAGCGTGGTGGCCCACTGCTTCACCTCTGGCCACAGGAAGATGTACCTCCCTGGTGAATCTCTGCCCCATCCAGAGTCCCTCTGGGATGTCCTGCTGTCACTGGGGCTGGAAGGAGCAGGAAACACAAGATTGATTTCCAGGAGTCTGGGAACAGCCTATCTAAAATGAAGAGAAGGGCCCATGCCCGGAAGAAACTCTCTGGTGCCCTCAGCTTGGTCTCTCCTTCTCCGTGTGTCCTGGCTGTGGCCCATCCAGAACCAAGCAGAGTCAGGCTCTTACTTCCTTGCCCGAGACCCCTGCTTCATTAAGCCCTCACCATCATGTGGCCTGGCTTTGCCACACTGACCTGTCCCCGAGTCCCAGAGTCTTGACCCAGCCCTGTCTGGGTAGGGAAGATCTGAGGGTGGGAACCCCTACGTAGGACTTGGTCCCTGGAAGTCACACTGTCTTAGCCAATAGTCGACTGCTGCTTTCTTTTTGCTGGACGTTTTCTGAGTTATTAAGAAGCCTGCCTTGTCTTCCAGTCTTCAGCAGCAAAGAGAAGCATCTTTCCTATGGCCTCCACCCGCAGTTCAAAAGCCTTCTGGGTAGGGGTTCTTGGAGTGGGTTGAAATAGATCTAACGAGCCCGGCATGCTTCGTACTGACATGGGTGAAGTCTTGTGCATAAGCTTTCATTGCATGAGAATTCCACACAGAAACCTGCCTGGCTGGTTCCCATTTTTTTTCTGATGGGCCTGAGGACAGTGTCAAGGCCTTGCCTGGTGAACCGAGACCTGCATGTTCAAACCACCCCTCTGCTCACCCCCTCCCCAGTCTCGCCCGGAGTCCACCTTAGACCCGCTGCTCGTGCCGACCACATGTATCCTCTGCCCCCAGCCAAAGGTCAAGGCTGTATGTGCGTACTTCCAGCCACATACCGACACGCTTTGCCACGGAGCTCGCGCTGACTCCTAGCGACCAGGTAGGACAGAGTGCGAC